TCTTCTTCTTCATCTTCTTCGTTGCTGTAAGAATTTGAACCATTCACTGAACAGTTCAAATGGCGACTGGCTTGACCATTAGGGAGTCCTGCGTTTCTAGCTTGCGTACCACGGCTGCCAGAGGCGAGGGGATCAGTCACCGCAGGCGCCGTGTTCACGCCTGTGCCGTTAGCTCCCTTTTCCTCCTCAGAAGACACTGTGTCTTCCCCATTCGTAATCACAGTATCAGGTTTACTATCAAGTTCACCCAGCAATTCTTCTTGTCTCTAGCTCTTCAAGTCGAGCCCATAATTCCTCATCAGCAAGTAAATCCTTGGGTTTTGCATCATCTTCAAAATCTGCTTCAAAAACATCTGAAGTTTTTGGTTTGGAATGAGGTTTATGAGCAATTCGTTGTTTTCCTTTACATTCAAAGTCACTTTTAATTTCTTCTCTTATGTCAACAATATCACCTGCAGCATCACTCATCTTCTGCAAGTCTTCTGTGAATTCAACTCTGGATTCAAAATTTTTCAACACTTTTTTAAAATCATCTATTGTTTTTCTTACATGTTCTTTCCGGTGCTCAACTAAACCTACAGCCTGTTTTGCCAAGCACTTTGCAAACCAGTTGTCCCCAAGTAAAACAGTGACTTCATTAGTGTGGACAAGTTTTCCTGGCATGAAGGCAAGAGGGCCAAATGGTACCATGACGTCGTAGGACAGCTTGTCAGGCAAGGTTCTCAGTCTCTCCAGTCTCTCTTGAAGAGCGCTATAGTCACTGTCTACTTTCTCCCAATGCTGGATTTTCTCTTGGCAGTTAGTGACCACCTTTTCCTGCTCCTCGCGGAGCCGCGCCACCTCTGGGGCGCGCAGCAGAGCAGCGGTCGAGGCCTCAGGAAGGGACTGGGACTGGGGCTCCGCCTCGGGCTCGGGCTCCTCGGGCGGGGGTTCCATGCCCGGCGCCGCGGCCTCAGCGAGGCTAGCAAGTCCTAAACAAGTGTTTACGGAGGCGGCGTGGCCGGCAGCTGCCCAGCGCCCGCGCGCTCGCCCTCATGCACCGCGCACCGCGCTCCCAGAGGCCGCGCTGGCCTTGGCCGCTGCCCCGGGGGCCGCTGCTCGCGTCCGGGAAGCCCGAGGCCTCATCTCACACGCGCATCCCGCCGCCGTCCCCCGCCGCCGCTGTCCCGGAGCAGCAGGCCCTACGCCAGGAGCGCCAGCCATGCTTTCCATCTTCTGCAGCCGGTACTTGACTTTTTATTTGATAACATGAAGTGTCTAGCTGGGGTATTGCTACCTCTGTTATAGCACCCTATAACAGACTCCATTGAAACTCTCTATACATATATATTTTAGGATCTTCTACAATAGGTTTCCTTGTTCCCTGCCATTTTATCCCCTACCCCATTATTTCCTGTTTTATTATTCTCCTTTTCCCTGGTGTCATTACATCCTCTATCTCCTCTTTTCAAAGAGTTCCTCATCCCTGGTAGTCTCTTACTAGTTGCCCAATGAAACATACAGATTCAAGATTCAAAGCTAATATCCATGGGAGAGAGAACATGGAATGATTTTCATTCTGTTTCTGTTTCTAGTTCTAATCATTTACCTGCAAATTTCATAATTTCATTTTTAGCAGTAAATAATATCCCATTGTGCACATGTAGTACAATTTTTATTAACCGTTCATCAGTTAATGGACATCTTAGACTGACTGTGCACCCTGGCTCCCCTGAATAGAGCAACAATGAACAGGGATGAGCAGATGTCCCTATAGTAGAATAAAGAGTCCTTTCCGTGCATTCCAATGACAGCTATAGCTGACCACAAGCTTGTTGAGGAACTTCTACTCCATTTCCCATAGTGGCTGCAGCAGTTTACACCCTAACTAAACAAGTGTCCCCTTTCCCTGAATCCTCATCAGTGTCTGTCTGCTGCCAGTTGTCTTTTGATCTTTACCATTCAGGCTGGAGGAAGAAGAAATCTCAGTGTAGTTTTGATTTGCAGTTCCCTGTTGGCTAAGGATGGTGAATATTAAAAGAGAAATAGATTTCTCAGCTCTTTTTATTTCACATTTTATGCAATACAGTGAGTTCCACTCCTAGTTTTTTCCAGGGTCTCACCGTGTATCCCTGGCTGGGTTGGAGTACACAGACATCTCTGTAACTCCACCACCAAACACTGGATCTAGAGGCTTGCATCACCATGCCTCTGCTAAGCCGCAGTTTTAAATGGGGTTGTTAGCTTTCTTGATATTTAGTAATTTGAGTCCTGTGTGTTCTGGACACTAACCCTGTGTCAGAAGGGCACTGAGTAAAGACTTTTCCCTCTCTGTCGCTACCTTTGCACTTGGTCGATTGTGATCACTGTACAGAAGCTTTTCAGTTTCACACGGCCCCATTTGTTTATTATTGGTCTTAATACCAGGCCTCCCAGGGTCCTGCTCAGAAAGCCCTTTCCCATGTCTGTAAGTTGAAGTGAATTGTGTACATTCTCTTCCATTTGGTGTAGGGAATTGGCTCTTATGTTGAGATCCCTGATCCATTCTTCAGAGCAGGGATTCTCAAACCTGATCCACTCATTCTTTAGAGCAGTGCTTCTTGAACCGTGGGCCACAACCCCTTGGTGGGAGTCGACCAACCCTTCCACAGGGCTCACATATCAGGTATCCTGTTTATCAGATGTTTATATTACAATTCACATCACTAGCAAAGTTAGAGTAATGAGGTAGCAAGGACAGTTTATGGTGTGGCATACCACAACATGAACAACTGTATCAAACGTCTCAGCCTTAGAAAGCTTGAGGACAATTGCATTAGAGGCTGGAGGACATAGGTATTTTTGTCCACCTAGTAAAATTGTAGTTTTCTTTACACACTCTGAATTCTGTATAAAGGAGCTGCTGTACTCTTGTACATTGCCCTTTTTCAGTACTTGTGCCTTTCAGGCTGGACAAAGTGTTTGCATAGTCCAAAGTCAGAATCAATCATTTAGAACCACAGTGAGTTTTTTTCTTTAACTTTACTTTTACCATAGCACGATGCTGTCCCCAGGGGCAATAGTGAGGGACTTCCACAGGAAGTACACAGAACAGAGAGAACAGAGAGAGGTGATTGTGATTTGCCTAACAGGTTAGTGTTCCACAGCCTTGCCATGAAAGCCCCATTCTACTGTTGGTAGACGGCCTTTTGTTGTGTTGGTCAGAAGTAATATCTAGTTATTTTTCATTTCTGAGAATCTTCATTCAACTTCTCCTCTATTAATGTCAACCAGCCCTCTGAGTGTGTGTCATAGCTTAGAAGGCAGCCTTGCATTAAATTTGCATTAGTTTATCTATCCCTTGATATCCAGGAACTTTCAGAAATACTTGGTAATGTGACAGACATCTTGTAAGAACATCTCAAAGCTGAGCATAGAGGCACTTGCCTTTGATCCCACCACTTGGGAGGGAGGCAGAAGCAGATAGATCTCTGTGAGTTTGAGGCCAGCCTGGTCTGCATAGTGAGGACCACTGTCCACTTCCTGCCCCTGCAATTTGGAAGCAGAACAGCAAGGAGCTTCACTGCTGTCTTGGGTGCCAGGTGCCTCTACCACACACCTTCCGGGTAAAGAATTTCCTGTCCCAGAGAGGGGAAGGCACAGCCTGGGGCAGGGGGCGGGGCCTAGCAGAGGTGTAGGAATATTGCATGTGCTTTGGTGCAGACATGCTGAAATGCAGGTCAGGACAATTGAGGGCAGACATGGTGGCAGGGCCTCCGTACTCCACCTTGCTGTTGCCTTCTGCCATGTCTTTCTGGGATGCTCCCACTCCTGCATCCTACTTGGCTCTTCAGCACCTGCTGCTTTGTCCTCGTGTGTGCGAGGTGTGAACCAGAAAATGCTTTCTGAAGTGCCGGTGAGCAGTAAGGAACATGAGCTCAGTGGGGGCGGGGAGACCAGGATCTGAGGACACAGCAGCCTGGGCTGCTGTCTGAGAGTGCTCTTAGCTGCCTGTTTGTTGCTGCTGAGACCCTGAGGCCCATGTCACTGCTGACACTGGCCAGTGCCACTTTGGTTGCCTGAGTTGGCACCTGTCTCCTGGGGCTACTAGTCATGTGGTCCACCATGGGAACACAACCTGGTGCTGTGTTGTCCTGCTCCAAGCTTTCCCCAAGCTCTGGAAGAAGGAACTCTCATGGTTGGCATCCTACTGGCCTGACAGGGACCTCAGTCTTGAGAAACAGACTGCAACCTGCAGCCCAGCAGGAACAGGAAAACATCTCCATGGGGAGCAGTGGCACCTGTCCCTCTCCTCCCCAGAGCATCTTGGAGCCTTGTGCATGCATCCATTGCTGGGGCTAGGCCCACAGGGATTGGTGGAAACTTTGTTAGTCACAGACCTCAGGGCTGTGGCTTGCATGGATAGGGAGGGGGCGTGTCAGTATGCATGTGCTGCCTGGAGGGGACAGGCTGGGCCTCAGGTAGGGTGATTTTGGATTTTGTTTGCAGTGTTGGTGGTATTTGTCCTTACCAAAAGGAAGGGATTTGTCATAACGGTGAGTTTGTTACATGTCTATAAGATGACTGCAATGCTCTGCAATAATGTATGCAACCAGTACCCTGACTCTCTCCAGGTATCAAAATGATGCCACACTGCCTCCACGTGTAGAATGCTAATCTATTGACTTGAGTAGCTCTGATGTTTCAGTGTGTGTATAGTCATGGGCAGTGCAGTGAATATGTGAGCTTAAGAAATTAGAGGAGAGCCTGGGCATGGTGACACATGCCTGTCATGCATACACTCAAGGGGCTGAGGCAGGAGAATTGTTAGTCAGGGTCGGCCTGGGCTTCATAAAGAGACCCTGTTTGAAAAAATAAATTAGTGGAGAAAATTGACTAAAAATGGAATCAAGTAGGAGGAACATAATATGAAAAAGTACATTTATATTTTAAAACATGAAAAAGCTGATACCAGTACAAATGTGTACACATTCCTATTATTTATAAGTAACTGCATATATATCTGCATTCATGGACAAAAACATCTACTTTGAAAAGTATACTTATCTGTAAATATACCCAGAATGGAGACTTTAATATACATGCCAAAATGTAGTGTTGGGGTTGCTGTAGTATATTTTGGTTTTCTTTTTTCTTTTTGCATGTATTTCCAAAGCTTTATTTTATATCTGTACCATTTTAACTTCTTCCATATAATCCTTTACATTTTCCAAATTTTCTACATCAATGGGTCTTTTATTATGAGAAGTAGCTTCTGATTATAGTCAGTTGATATTTCTGTGCTTCTGAAAACTCCTCTGCCTCAAGGTATTCCCTATGGAAAAAAGCTGATGAGTAGCTTTCTGCTGTGTCCTGTTAACCTCACACTCTCTGTCGTGAAGACATTGCCTCTGACTGTACACACCTCTGAAATTGTCGAACCTGGGACTTGTTTCGTCTTGCTGCTTGTCTTTGTCTCCTCTTTCTGGAGACACCTGTGAAATTGTCTGCTTGCCCTTGTCCCCTGACTGTACACACCTGTGAAATTGTCTGCTTGTCCTTGTCTACTTGCTGTACACACCTGTGAAATTGTCTGTGTGTCCTTGTCCCCTGACTGTACACACCTGTGAAATTGTCTGTGTGTCCTTGTCCCCTGACTGTACACACCTGTGAAATTGTAAGTGTGTCCTTGTCCCCTGACTGTACACACCTGTGAAATTGTAAGTGTGTCCTTGTCCCCTGACTGTACACACCTGAGAAGTTGTCCTCCTTGGCCCTGGTTGTTCCTGCTCATTTGCATTTCCTCTTGAATATGCAGAATGTCTCAATCCTCAGCATCTGGGTTTAGAAATAAAGGAAGATCTGCTTACTGTCCAGGCTCCCTTCCTGCAGCCTTGGAAATGACCTCACCAGGCTGCTGTGCCAAGGGCTGGGAAGTGTGGGTGACATCCTCTTTCATCCTCTGTGTCCTTGCCATTGTGTTCTTTA